CAGTCCTGGAAGGGCCCATGTTCACAACAGGTCTAAAGAGGTGTGGGAACAGGATTGAGTTGCTGGGGAGCACTGGGGAGGACATCAGGAGGCTAAACACAGGAGTGGGATTGGAATTGCGGGTTGGTGGGGCACTGAGGGGACACTAGGGATGTCAGGGATTTTTTCCAGGATTTGGGCTGGGTGACACTCTGCGAGGAGCTGACATTGGGCAGGGAGAGAGTTTCTGTGTCTGCTGGGCACAGGGATTACCCTGGGGGGGACACAGAAGTGAGGTCCAGGGTGGCACTGCTGGGGGGACAGGGTGTGACCCCAGAATTTGATATAATTTTCTGGGGTTCTAGGAGGACACTAAGTGTTGGGGACATGGGATCATGGGAGTGGGATTGCTGTCTTGGGGTTCTGAGGGGAGTCCAGGTATGAGCCTAGCCTTTAAGCTCAGCATCCTGGGATGTGTCCAGGGAGCTTCCAGCTGAAACGGAACCCCTTCCCACCAGCTGGAACCAGTTCCCCTCCTCAGCCCTTCAGGCAGGAACCCTTCCCATGTACCCCTGTGTGCCCTAAATGTCCCCTGAGAGTGTTCTTCTTTTTCTGCCAGTGTCCCACACTGCTCGTGGTTGCCCTTCTGCGCCATGGCCCTCCTGGCTCACACTGTGGCACTGCTGGCAATGACTGTGGCCACGGTGGCCCTCAAGGTGGTTCCCCTGGACATGGCCCGGGACTCCTTCGATGACCAGTATCGGGGCTGTGGCCATGCCATGACCACGGCGTTGCCGTCTCTGTACTACTTTGAGTCCCAGGTGAATCCTCTCTTTGCCCAGACATGGGTGAAGGCCGAGGCTGAGTGGCGCAAGAGGGGCTCCCCTGTCTCCCCTCTGGTGTCTCCAGCCCAGGCCATCGCTCTCATGGCCTACACAACGAAGGACATTTACAAGGACTTCAACACGGCTGTGCGCGCGGCTGGGCGCTCCCACCAGGAATATCGGAACAACTTCCACTTCAAAACGCTGCATTTCCTGCTGCTCTGGGAGTGTTTCCTATACCGGGACAACTTCCACTTCAAAACGATGCATTTCCTGCTGACCGATGCCGTGGTGACACTGAGGCACGCTCAGAACAGGCAGTGTCGCCACGTCTTCCGGGGTGTTCGTGAGGTTCATTTCAAGACGCAGCCTGGCCAGAGGGTCCGCTTTGGTCAATTCACATCGACGTCACTGAGCAAAGAGATCGCCCAGAAATACGGAACAGACACCATATTCGAGGTTCACACGTGCCACGGCGTGGATATCCAGGCTTTTTCCTACGATCCTAGCAACCGTGAGGTGTTGATCCCACCCTTTGAGACCTTCAAGGTCACCAAAGTCACGCGGAACGGGAAGAAGACAAGGATCAGTCTCCGCTCCACTGGGACCTTCAGCAAATACAGCTGCGCGTGGCTGTGAGGTGACAGCACAGAGGACAGCCTGGGGTGATGGGGACAGCCATGATAAGGCACAGGGGACAATGACACTCACTGGGGATAGGGGACAGGGGCATGCACTGTGTGTGGAGGGACATGGACACCTGCAGCTGGCGACAAGGACAGGGATACCCAGTGCTGGGGGCATCCAGTGGGAATGTGCGGACAGGGGCACTCAGTGCTGGGGACACCCAATGTGGACAGTGGGCATCCATGACAGGGCGGAGGCATGGAGACCTTCACATCTCAGAGGAGACAGGGACAGAAGTGTCTTTTTCACAGGTGTGTATCTGACTTCATAGTGGTATGATAAACTACCAGTTACACAAAAACTTTTGCCTCACTTCCCTAAATGCCTGCAATGTCAAACAATGAAACCGCCAAAGCCAGTGCTGTGGGGATGAGCCTCGTGTGCTGGACGTGGGTGGACCAGGACCCTACATGGCACTCCCTGAATCCCTGTCACCCCCTGTCACCTTCCATGGCACCCCCTAACTCCCCATAACCCCTTTTACCCCTAAGCCCACTATGAGACCCCCTGACTTCCCTGGTGCCTGTACCCCCCTGTGCCCACCTCAACACCCTGTTTCCTGTCACCTCATGGCCCTCATCTCTCCTGTCACCCCTAACCCTCCATTACAGCTGTCCCCACCCCCTTCACTCCCCACATGGTCTCCCTGATGCCCTTCTTTACCCCCGGGTGGGTACGTCCCCAGGGCCCCCTTCCACCACCGAGGACTCCCCTTGACCACTGCAGCCCTGGCAGTGGCCACCAGGATCCCCTGAGCCACAAGGCCACCAAGGTCACTGAGGTCATTATGGTCACTGTGGCAAGCATGGCTACTATGATCATCAAGAAACCCTCAGCCACAAGGCAACCACAGCCACTGTGACCACTGTCCACACCAAGGCCATTGTGCAAAGCCATTTTCTTAAATAATTGTATTTTTAAAAATCCATTAAATAATTCTGTCAAAGAGAGCAAAAAGTGACAATTCTTATACAGGGCTGGATGACATTCCCCTGAACAACACTCGTGGGAATGTCCCTTTCTCTTAACCTTGAGGAAGACCTATGGGAAGCACCCCCTTCCCGAGGGAGGAACCTCACACACATTTCATTCCAAGCAGGAATAGAGGAGAGGAGTCTCTGTCTGAGAGAGGACTGGAGATTCCCAGGATCAGCTGAAGAAATGCCAGGCTCAGCTCTGGTTGTTCACCCGCAGTTGTCAGTTCGGGGTTTGGTGATTTGTGCTGGTTTTCGCCCAATTCAGCACAAAAATCAGCACAAGACTCCTTTCAATGCAGCCCCAATGGCCACAAATGGGGCATTGACCCTTGGGCACATTCCAGGCAGAGCATCCTGCCACATCCTGCACTTCAGGGGGACCTTAAAGGCTGGAAATTGGGACGTTCAGGCGGGGAAGGGCAGGTCCTGTCCCTGGGGAGGGACAATCCTCACTGCCAGCCCTGCCTGGAGGGGACCAAGTGGAGTAGCTCTGGAGAAGGACCTGGGGGTGTTGGATGGTGTTATAGATGGGTAGAATGATGATTGGCTCTCGCAAAGAGAGATGAATTGTGTGTGTGTGTGTGTGTGTGTGTGTGTGTGTGTGTGTGTGTGTGTGTGTGTGTGTGTGTGTGTGTGTGTGTGTGTGTGTGTGTGTGTGTGCATGCAGAGAGAAGAGAATCCCTCTTCTCCCTTCTCCTCATGGCTTCTATCACACAGCATGCCGACATATCCTGACTAACAACTCCTTCCTGAGGAATCTGAAATACAGAGTCCAAGGGAAATTTAACAACTTCATGGTGTGCAATTCTCTTTTGGCCACATTTTGTTTGTCAGGGGGAGCACAAGAATGAGGCCACACATAATTTAACACCTTTTCCTATTTACAGCTTGTTAGTTTAACTTTCTCTGAGATTGTTTTTTTAAAAAATGTTTGTCTGAATTTAGTGGTTGTGAAGGAAAATGACAGCCCTAAAGACCATAGTTTTCCTTGCAGAATGGGCACGGGAGGAGTTCCAGCAGAGTGCATTTCCTCATATTACCACCCTGATTTGACCTTGAATAACCTGTTGCAGGGCCTAGCAGAATTGGTTTTCGTATCTTTCCCGTCCCTAGCCTTTTTGGGAAGACTGACAGCTGGGCTGTGACAAATGTGGCAGACCTTCTGGGAGGCTGATCAGAGATCAGAGATCAGATCAGAGCCTGACTTCTCTCACATAGGCACAGTGTTATAGTAACCTCTCAAATAGTAGGGAGGCTGGTGAGCAGAGCTAATAAACAGATCTCAGGGTGAATATTTCAACACCAGCAGCCATGGAGCTGCCACCTTTCCTTAAAGCTCTATTATTACGGCTGTGCTTATATTTTAATACTTACTGGGCCTTGTACAAACTGAGAGCAAGGCACAACAAAATGTAGGAGAAGAAATGCTTAAAGCTATAACTCCTTCCACCAGATCTCTTTAATGAAGGAGCAGAGCCATGGGGACATAAAATGGCTTTCCCTATCCCAGTTAAGTATATGAAAGGACTTGGCTGTTCCAGTGTCCTGGCTGGCACAGCACATTGATCCTGTGGTGTTTTGAAGGTGAATGATGAGAATCTGAACTTGTGTCCAGCATAGGTAATGACCCAGGAAGCAAATTTATATGTTGCTGCTCCCTCAAATTTGAATATATTTTGGGGGGGTTCTGAAAACAAGATCCCACTCCTGAATTTACTTTAGCAAAGATTTATTAAAGACCACCCAATCACTTTTCTCAGCAAGGGCTCTTCAGACTAGGCACAGTGTCCTCAATCCTTGTGCTGACATCACCACTGGAGCTGGTGTGGTGGCCACTACCAAGAGTTTTGTGTTCACTCCACCTGCACCTCAAGGTGAATATGCTCTAATCCAGAAGCCAGGTGGTTTCATGGGGTCGGTGATGTCCTCCAGCTTATACAAGAAGCCCTACTAAATTGCATAGTGCCACTGCAAAAAGGCTGCTAGAACCTCATCTGAAGTCAACTCATGGTGCATCAGTGTTCTTGAAATGTCATGTGCTATTTTCTTCCTGTGTAGGGAAGGAAGTGTGGAGCTGAGCAGAATGACGAGACAGGTCATGGGATGGTCCACAGTAGGCTCTTCATTCCGATTGCATTGGAACAGAATCCTGCAGGAAAGCATGGCCTCTATTCCTGCGCATCTCTGAATTACGAGTACTAGGATTTAGTGGAACCCTTAGTTTAATGCAACATTCAGTTCTTCCCAATAACTTGTGATGAAAATCTGAGTCCATACTTACATACATACATAATCCATATTTTGATGTCATTGCCTGGAAGCATGGCTCTCAGCATTTTTTCTTCTGGGTATCTGTAATTAAGAGACGTTTAGGATCTGTTTTACAACACCTTGACAAATTGGGGCTTTTTTAGATTCAGAAGGTGTTTTGGGTCCATATTTTTAGAAAACTGCTCTCTTGTATATAGTCTTTTTCATATAATATCAGTGTTAGCAAAGGCTGGTGAAGAGACCACTATTATTATTCATTAACTCTGGTCTCTCAGCGGAACCATATGTGCAGAGCAGAGGGAAAAGAGTACTGTTTTTTTTTAATACTGAGTCACTGCTACTGATTAAGTGTTTCTTCTTTTTTTTTTTTTTCCTTTTCTTTTTATTTTTAAAGAAAAAAAAGAAATGGAAAAAAGGTGTTTTTCTGAAGCCTGAATGTCAGGAGATTTAATTTTCTCTAGGTGCCACAATGTCTTCAGAAAGTTTTAGTCCAGTGGACCACAGTGATATCAGCCAACACTTGTTTTAAAGGATATCTGTAAAAAATTCATGGGTAGATCCTTGCATCTCAGGTCACAGGAGAGTGTGACTATTCCAGGGTGGCACTGCTGGGGGGACAGGGTGTGACCCCAGAATTTGATATAATTTTCTGGGGTTCTAGGAGGACACTAAGTGTTGGGGACATGGGATCATGAGAGTGGGATTGCTGTCTTGGGGTTCTGAGGGGAGTCCAGGTATGAGCCTAGCCTTTAAGCTCAGCATCCTGGGATGTGTCCAGGGAGCTTCCAGCTGAAACGGAACCCCTTCCCACAGCTGGAACCAGTTCCCCTCCTCAGCCCCTCAGGGAGGAACCCTTCCTATGTACCCCTGTGTGCCCTAAATGTCCCCTGAGTGTGTTCTTCTTTTTCTGCCAGTGTCCCACACTGCTCGTGGTTGCCCTTCTGCGCCATGGCCCTCCTGGCTCACACTGTGGCACTGCTGGCAATGACTGTGGCCACGGTGGCCCTCAAGGTGGTGCCCCTGGACATGGCCCGGGACTCCTTCGATGACCAGTATCGGGGCTGTGGCCATGCCATGACCACGGCGTTGCCGTCTCTGTACTACTTTGAGTCCCAGGTGAATCCTCTCTTTGCCCAGACATGGGTGAAGGCCGAGGCTGAGTGGCGCAAGAGGGGCTCCCCTGTCTCCCCTCTGGTGTCTCCAGCCCAGGCCATCGCTCTCATGGCCTACACAACGAAGGACATTTACAAGGACTTCAACACGGCTGTGCGCGCGGCTGGGCGCTCCCACCAGGAATATCGGAACAACTTCCACTTCAAAACGCTGCATTTCCTGCTGACCAAGGCACTGGTGACACTGAGGCATGCTCAGAACAGGCAGTGTCGCCACGTGTTCCGGGGTGTGCATGATGTCCAGTTCCAGGCACGGCGTGGTCAGAGGGTCCGGTTTGGTCAGTTCACATCGACGTCGCTGAGCAAAGAGATTGCCCAGAAATACGGGACGGACACCATGTTCGATGTTCACACTTGTCATGGTGTGGACATCCAGGCTTTTTCCTTCTATCTAAGCAACCGAGAAGTGCTGATCCCTCCATACGAAACCTTCAAGGTCACCAAAGTCACCCGGAATGGGAAGAGGGCATGGATCAGTCTCCGTTCCACCGGGACCTTCAGCAAACACAACTGCGCGTGGCTGTGAGGTGAC